CTGTCATTTTGGTACAGATGGGTGTCACGTGCATCTGTGTACCTTTAAAGAGGGATGGGCTAAACACATCCATTGATACATGTGCTCCTACTATGGAGGCTTTGGAAATTTTAGTTAGGTCCACAGTATACAGAGGACTCTTACGCATGTATTTGCAAATGGGTACAAACAAAATCCTCAGTTTTTAACGCAAACTGTTAAACAAGGCCAATTAGGTTGTTTCGCAGGCTGGCTGGCAAGTGTTGCTGGGAAATCCTTTGTTTGTTTGTGATATATATTCTTTAAAGTGCAAGAAACGTTGCCCGTGCATGCAGGTACATTCAGAATGCCAAAGTATATAGACTCACTAAGAAACACCAATGTACATGAAGAATAATGTTGTTCTATCTACAGTAATTGTAACATTCTCCATAAAAAAAGCTTAATTTGAAATTAGTATTTACTTTTAGTGTGCGTTTGTAGGGATTTTTTTTAACAAATTTGTGGAAAGTTGTTACCTAGTTAAAATATAAATTCATCTGCACAGTAGAACTTTAGCACTGAACAAGACCCGAAGGACTGCTCTGGCTACCACTAATGTAATAGGTGCCAAGTAAGCTGAAACAAATGTAATCCAGCAAGAAATGACCAAGGACAGCATTAAGCAGATTTAGAATGATAAACATAAAATCCATGAATACAAAATGCGTTAAAAAAAAAAGAAGTTTCTCACAGATGTTATTACTGTAGACATCTGTGTGCCTGAGCAACATGTGCAAATGTCAAAGGAAAACACGTACAACACTGTGTTAATGAGTGTTAGAAATTCTTGGCAGTATTTTGCTATTTGATAATATATGAGTGTGATACATTACAATGAAAAATAGCCCAGCCTTGGCAAGGTTAGTGACATGCTTGGGAGCCTACAGATGTATCCCCTGTCACTATAATATACTTTCTGATTAAATTTTGTTTAACTAGAAACCAAGATTCAAAGACATTTAAAAAGAAATGGAAACTGTCCATAGCTTGCACATAAAGCCTCAGTAATACTTACTTTTTATGGTACTAACACTAACAAAACATGGCAGTAAGCTGTCTGCTTTATCTTCCAAATTCTCCCATCTTACTTCTATTCAAACATAGCTTTAAAGTAGTTGTGAACATATTATGTTCTAGACACTTCCTAATACAGGCATACTTATTCAGGCATCTTAACTATTTTTTACTCAGAAATTACCTGTCTTACCATTTTTAGAAGATTAAAAGGTTCTACCATATCATCATGCAGGGGGCGAGGTTATAGGACACTGTGCAGACACACAATGTGCCTGTATTCAATAGTCTGATCAGTCTCAGACAAGATGCAGGGTGTGCTTGAACAGGGAGATTGTTCAAAATGCAGGTGGTGTTTGGGAGGGGAGTGTGTGCCAAAGGCAAGCTGTGACTGGTTAGGGGGCATGATGGCTAAACAAACTACCCAGTACAGGCATGCTGTGTGTCTGCACAGTGTCCTGTACCTCTGAATGGCCTACCAAAGAATGAAAACTGAAAATGATACCACAGGTCAGCTCCTGTGCTTTGTGTGGTCAGTTTAACACAAGGAAGAACTGGCAGAATCAACCAGGTACGTCAAATGGAAGAAGTACATAAAAATGATTTATAAAATACACATATGCAAACACACATTGAAAAATATATATTTAGGGTAACATACACTTTATACATTGAAATCCCCATCAGCATTGAAGTATCATTGTAGTAGTGGTACTTCTAACTCTTAACCACTTCAGCTCTGGAAGGTTTTACCAGGCCATGACCAGGCCATTTTTTGCTATACCTCACTGCGCTACTTTAACTGGTAATTGTGCAGTCATGCAATGCTGTACCCAAACTAAACTTACCGTATTTTTCGCCGCATAAGACGCACTTTTTCTTCCCCAAAACTAGGGGGGAAATGTCAGTGCGTCTTATGGAGCGAATATGGAGCGGCCGGTCCCGTATTTCCACCGTGTCAGAATACCGGGCCGGCCGCTCAGCTCTGCAGCGGGACCTTACCTGTTCCTCTATCCAGCGGTGTGCTGTCTTCCCGGCTTCTGTAGTGTGGGCACTGGGCATGACAGCCGGGTGCCAAGTGCGCATGCGCAAGAAGCGGTGCTTTTTGTGAATGGTAAGGTGGTACCTGGGACACATGACAGATCCCAGAAGCCACCGGACCAATCACAAAGCGCAAGTGCTTGTCGCTCATGCGCACTGGGCACCCGGCTATCATGCCGAGCGCCATTACAGAAGCCGGGAAGACAGCGCGCGGCTGGATCGAGGAACAGGTAAGATCAAACAAAAACTCTGCGGAAGTAAGAGCGGGTACCTGTCAAATTCAGGTACCCGCTCCCCACCTCCCCAAAGGTCAGCAGTCATCTATACTGTCCGCAGTCTCTGGTCATCCCTGTGCTGTCCGCAGTCTCTGGTCATCCCTGTGCTGTCCGCAGTCTCTGGTCATCCCTGTACTGTCTGCAGTCTCTGGTCATCCCTGTGCTGTCCGCAGTCTCTGGTCATCTCCTGTACTGTGTCTGCAGTCCATTAGTTCAGAATTTTTTTTTCCTGTTTTCTGCCTCTAAAACCTAGGTGCGTCTTATGGTCAGGTGCGTCTTATATGGCGAAAAATACGGGATATCATTTTTTCACATAGTTCTTTCTTTTGGTGGATTTTAGCTCCACTGGGTTTTTTTTTTTTTGCAATATAAACAAAAAAAGGGAAACATTTTGAAAAAAAAGCAATATTTTTTACTTTCTGCTATAAAACATATCCAATAAAAGTATAAAAAATCAAACTTCTCCATACATTTTGGCCAAAATGTTTTCTTCTACATGTCTTTGAATAAAAAAAAAAATCCAAAAAGCGTATATTGATTAGTTTGAGTGAAAGTTATAGCGCCTACAAACTATGGTATATATACTGGATTTTGTTTTATATTACTAATGGCGGTGATCAGTGACTTATAATGGGACTGCAGGTGGGTAATCTGACACTAACTGCCACTGACATCACCAATGACATTAATACAGTGATCAGTGATAATACTATACACTGTCACTGTACTGATGACACTGGCTGGGAAATGGTTAACATCTAGGGCAATCAAGGGGTTAAATATGTGCCTAACTATGTGTAATGTATGTAAAGTTTGCTGCTTTTACTAAGTGATCTCTAAGTTTCTCACCCCTACTTTGCATGGATGATAAAACTTACAGATCGCTCTCTGTACAGAGCTCTGTGTTGTTTACAACCGATGTGTTTAAAATCACAGTGGGTGTTGGCAGGGGATGGGGGTGGGGTGCACCCTGAAACTCGGAAGTAGGCAGCGGCATACCCATGCATTGCTTTGCCTACAGCGACTGTCTGTCTGCAGTACATTGCAGGCGGGAGTAAACTGGTGAAGGAAGGAAAGAAGGAAGGTAGGAATGGAACACAGAAGGAGGTTTTTTTCATATGCAAAGGGAAGTACACCTTCCTTTTCCTTCCTATTTTATATATCATCCCAGAGGTTTAGCTGGCAGTTACTGAGCCCAAGATAATGATCCTCAAACCTGCAAAACTGTCACCAGAAAAGCAGATGCCAGAAGAAAGAAGAGTGGAAGCACCAGTCTTTAATAAGCACTATTGCTTCAATTTTCAACACTAAGTTTGTATAAAAAAATTGATTTGCAAATATATCATCATTTGAGCAAAAGTCACAAATATTACCCATAATGTTTTTTAGATGTATATAATGCCAGTTTCTATTTGTTCCCCTTTGCTGACCGAAGACTTGAGTGTCTGTTATGGAATTAGTGGTGGACCCAGTTTCCTTTTCTTTTCTTTTTTTTTTGTTTGATGGGGTTCTTCCCCTTTTTTTAATCCTTTCTTTACATTCACCTGTCAGTTGTGAATGCCCAGCTGTCAGCTGAATGTGCCAGGTAGGGATCAGTCAATAATTGTACTGTTTTCCTAAAAAACAGTCCTGATCATTGGTACAAAATTTACTAATAATACTTGTAATGTTTGTAATACAGTATGTGCATCATGTAATTTTCTGTTTTTTTTCTGAGTGAATGCAACATTCCTTTTTTCATTTGATCCTAAGAGAAAATAGCTATAGGAACATTTGAACAAAAAAGGAAAAACGGCATGGTCCCCCCTATGTACCATACCAGACCCTTTGGGTCTTTGCCTGGTGAAAGGCAACAAATAGAAATTGATATTACTGTACACACATATTACAAACATTTCAAGTATTATAAGTTACGTTTCATGACTGATGAGACATCTGCAAAGCATTTTTTTATGTATATAGTAGCTTACAGTGGAAGGAAAAGTAATGCTTCTTTGTGCTTCCCAACCACGGTATGCAAAAATAAAACACATATACACAGCATGTATACATTCATGGGTTGCACTGCTTGTTCACATGATTAGGCATTCATAAAGGCCAAACAGGATAAACTCCTATTTGATTCACATGCTTATAAAGGCTTTGCTACTTGTGATCAAGCCACAATCATATTTTATACCAATTGTTTGTTGCTAGAGAATCAGATTAGATAGCAGATTAGATTAGAGCATGCTGAGACTGAGAAAAGCATTATAAAACAGAAAAGCCCATCACTTACTTTTTATGGTTGCCAGGTTGTACAGTGAAAATTGTTCATCCTTTATTGTCTGTGTTCAGTACACAAGCAGTATTTTTGCATGTTGCTATCTGTTTTGCAACTTATAAGGGAAGATTTTGTGTGAATGGTGACATATTTTGTTAAATTAAAATTGTACTAACAGACAAAATTAGTTTAGAAAACACATCATTTTTTAAAGGGAATGTATAGTGCTTACTTATTTAATCATTGTCTTTTATCAACTATCATGGTCAATATGGAAAAATTGTTATCTGTATTTTATAGCTAGGTAAAGAGCATTGCAAATAATTTTGTATTTTGATTTCTGACAAAAGGTGGAAGTCTAATCTTCTTTTCAGATGTTTTTTTCAACTATCATGGTCAGGGGTGGACTGACCATTTGGAAACTCGGGCACTGCCCGAGGGCCCGGGGTCAGTAGGGGGCCCCCATGAGATGCCCCTGGTACCTTTTTTATAGGCTTTTTTGAGTTTGGGCAAGGACACGGGCCCCATGATCCCCTACTGCCCGGGGGGCCCGATGAGTTGTCAGTCCGCCCCTGATCATGGTCAATATGGAAAAATGTTTATCTGTATTTTATACCTCAGTAAAGAACATTGCAAATTATTTTGTATTTTGATTTCTGACAAAAGGTCTAATCTTCTTTTCAGATGTTTTCAGACTATTTTAACTTGTTGTTTACTGAACTCAGTAGCTCAAGCTCTAAGCTCTACCTTACAAGCTAAATTTAATGTGAGAAAGAAATGACTCACCTGCTGTTTTTATGGGGCTTATTTACAAAAGGTGGTTAATTCAGAATCTTGTGCACCTGTGCATGGTAGTCAATCACCTTCTAACCTCACCTTGTACAATTAAGTTTTAGCAATAAAACCTGTAAGCTGATTTGTTTCTATTCAGAAGTGCACCAGATTCTAAGTGAACCAGCTTTAGTAACTAATTCCCTTTGTCTGTGACTCCATACAGACTTCCAAAAAGATATAGAGAGTCTAAAATAAAACATTTAATAAAAAAATAGTAAAATATATAAAAATATAACATCAACTTACAAACATGAGCAAAAATATTGATCCAAAATGTTTCCTTTACACTTTAATTATGGGCAAATAAATGACATATAGGGGGATATTTAGTAAAACAGGTGCACTCAGAATCTGGTGCAGCTAGTCATGATAGCCAATCAGCTGCTAACTTCAGCTTTTTCAGTTAAGCTTTGACAATAAAGCCTGGAAACCGGTTGGTTTCTATGCAGAGCTGCACCAGATTTTGCACCATTCAGTTTTAGTAAATAACCCCCACATAATGTAGTCTTGGCGAGTCCCACATAACATAATTTTACTACCTGTTAACTCTACCTGAATGTAATAGGTTAGCAGTGCTGTTTGTTCTGCAATTAAAGTGCACAGCAGGGAATGTCCACGGCTTTGCAGCTTTTGGAATGGCATCTTTGCTTTGTTGTGTAAAGTCACAGGGGTGCCCATTCCTCAGACCCCTTCTGTTGCTTTACTTAATACATCAGTGGAGGATGTTCCTTGACATTTACAACACCTGATTTTCAACCTTCTCTTGGATGCAAAGATGACCATTTGTAAAGCCTGGAAGTGACCCACAGTGTCTGTGGCCCAGGCAAAGAAGAAAATCACCTGGATTATAATGCAGGAGAATGCTGTCAGTATGCTCCATGATACAGTGGCTGTGTTCGAAAAAAACTTGGGAACCCTGGGCTTAATATATGAATGTTGTATTGTGATTGCTCTTCTCGAGAGAGGGGGTAGGCACTTCCTTGACATCCTGTTCCGCACCTATCTATCTTTTTCTTTCCCTCTTCCACTTTCCTCTCTGGTACTCCATTACCATTTTCTAGAAGGATACTTCAGGAAACTGTTTGGGGTGCCTAGTGCTTGGTTTTTTTTAGGGGGGTGGGGAAGCTGTAGAATGGGTTTGAGATGTTGAACACTCTCCCTATTTCTATATGTGTTTGGATGTAAATTGAGTTTTTTTGACCCTTGAAACTATAAGACTCTGTGCACTCATACGCTTTGATTTTCATTCCTTCTTCTGTACCAGTCTACTTTGGCATTAATGATGGTTATATGTTCTGTTGAAACTTCAATAAACATTTATTGAATGTAAAGCACACAGCAGTGTTTTCACCTTGTGGGACAGGTCAGTCTTAGATGAACAGGTTTTTTATTTAATTATTTATTTATTTAATATCACTTTTGGAAAAAAAGGTTTAGATCATATAAATAATATCTGAGCATTGTAAATTTCCCTGTAGACATTAAATGGTTTTATTCAACTTCTGTAAGTCTGTCTGTAAGTAACTTCTGTTCTGAGACTTTTGACTGTTAACCTGCTCCTGCCTGCCATTTGTATATGGCATCTGGGCCATACCACGGTGACCATATATGTATATGTATATATATGGAGAATGGCTCTTCATTGCTGACAGCGTGCTCGCTGCACGCTCCCAGCCCAGTGACTAAGCTGTCACAAACAGCTTTCACTGTGACAGCGAATAATAGTAGTAACATAATTGGAAAGCCTGCCTCCACCTAGCATTCATATGCTTTTAAAGGGCTGGGGGTGGGTAGTAGAAAAGGGTTAAAGAACATGGAAAAGCAAATAATTTAACAGTAGTGTCAACTGGTAATACAATTTTGTTACTGGGAAATGCAGAAAAATAAAAAACGATGTGTTAATGCTATTGACAGACTGAATTATATATGTAACTTTTGACTTAGCCAATAGTTTCTCTTTGAAGGAAATTGATTGAAATGATCACAGACAACCCACAGTCTATGAGGGATTATACAGTTGTTTTATTAAAGAAATGAACCTTCTATTAGCTATAAGGGATAGTTTTCTTTTACTTTTATCATGAAAGTACTGCTGGCTCACCACCTGTTTGCCCATGTGAGGCTTGGTTTAAAGAACAAATACACTAGGCACCCTACCTTAGAGACAGCAAACAACAAAGAGCAACAAATGATATTTGTGTAGTCCTGCATTTTGGTGTGCAGAGTTCTAAGTTAAATGTAAACATACAGTAGGTAATGGCTTGCTTAGTTTTTAAGTAGAGCAAATAATCCCAAATACAATTTAAACAAAAAACATACAATTGTACTGCATTCAAAAAAAATGTGTTGTGTTTCGTGACTAATCAATTTTTGTATGAAATTTAGATTTTTGGAGATTCGGATGTATCCGAATCTCCAAATGAACATAGTATCAAATGTCAACGAATCAGAAAAAAGTTATAACGAAATTAACCAATGCATTTGTTTCATTTTTTTTCATTCGGATGACATCACATAATGCGATAGTAGTTCGGGCCCCTGGGGAAATTAATAAAATTTTCTAATTCATTCAATAATTCAGATTTGAGTAAATTTGAGATTTAAATTGAATTTATAATTGTCATAGTCAATCAGTTTAGTTCCACAGTCTGATGCAATTCTTAGGTTTGAATATTTTGGGCTGCTGAATTTTGCATTATTTATTCCATTGTGTTCTAAAATATCGACTGCTTCCCAATAGCTTTGATACATGAATATTGATTCCAACCAAAATATTGAAACTGAAAACTAACATATAGCAATTGTTTGAAAAAACTGCAAACATTTACAAATTCACCAGGACAAACGATTATATGCTACGAATGCCGAAGGTACGAAACAAATTCCCAAAAAAATTGGCTCAACATAACGAATATGGTGAAACAAAGTTCTTCAATGAATGAATGCATCCAAAATTAAATGGAAATTTCCAGCATGGACATGTCTAAGGCCTGTATATCATGAAACAGGCCATTTATTTCTGAGTCTCTAGGCTTTACAGTAGGTTCTGTGTGGAGGCAGCCCATTCAAGTCTGCTAGGATTCAGGGGCTACACAGACATAGTCACTCCTAATGTGAAAGGTTTGTGGTTGGGCGGCACTAAACACACACTGTCTGATTTTGGTACCGCTCACCTGTACCAGCATGCCTGTCACATTAGGACAAGTGGCTGTGTCTGTTCAAACTTCTAAGGTAAATTTGAATCTGATTGATGGCTGGGGTATTTCTTAATAATAATATAATATTTCTCAACAAAAAAGATAGAACATATTGAAAAAAAATTGCATTTTTCTTAGTTTCTGTTATAACATTTTGCAAATAAATAATCTTTCTACATAAATATAGGCCAAAATGTATTCTGCTACATGTCTTTAGTGAGAATAACCCAAATCAGTGTGTATTATTTAGTTGGTAGGAAAGTCCTAGAGTTCACTAACTATGTTGAATATCTAAAAAATTATAAATCCTGATGTACTGACAGTCGATCTCAAAAGTGGGCTTGGCAGGGGAGGGGGGGAGATGGCTCGGCAAGGTTTGGACAGGAGGGAGGGTTCAGCAGGGATCGGCAGGGTTCAGGTGGGAGGGAGGGCTTGGCAAGGTTTGGGCAGGAGGGAGGAATCAGCAGTGTTTGGGTGGGCTCGGCATTGCTCGGGCAGGATGGAGGGCACAGCAGTGCTCAGGTGGGAGGGGCAGGCTCGGCAGGGCTCGGGCTGTGGAGGTGAGCTCAGCTGACTATCTCCTGTATCCTGTCTGAAATCTCCTGTATCTTGTCTGCAGTCTCTGACCATATCCTGTATCCTGTCTGCAGTCTCCTGCATCCTGTCTACAGTCTTTGATGGTATCCTGTCTGCAGTCTCTGACCATCTCCTGTATCCTGTCCGCAGTCTCTGACCATCTCCTGTATCCTGTCTGCAGTCTCTGATGTCTCCTTTATTCTGTCTGCAGTCTCCTAAATCCTGTCCGTAGTCTCTGACCATATCCTTTATCCTGTCTGCAGTCTCCTGTATCTTGTCTGCAGTTTCCTGTCTGCAGTCTCTGGCCATATCCTGTCCACAGTCTCCTGTATCCTGTCTGCAGTCATTGACTATCTCCTGTATCCTGTTTGCAGTCTCTGAGTATCTCCTGTATCCTGTCCACAGTCTCCTGTATTCTGTCCACAGTCTCTGACCATATCATGTGTCCTGTCCGCAGTCTCCTGTATCCTGTCTGCAGTCTCTGGCTTTATCCTGTATCCTATCCGCAGTCTCTGACCATCACCAGTATCCTGTCTGAAGTCTCTGACCATCTCCTGTATTATGTCTGCAGCCTCTGACCATCTCCTGTAGTATGTCTGCAGTTTCTGACCATCTCCTGTGCTATGTCCGCAGTATCTGACCAACTCCTGAGGTGGAGCTCTAAAAGGAATAGGTGAAGCCTAAAGGGAAGGGGCATAGTTTTCAGGTGAAGGTGTGGATCTTAAACAGGTATGGGTGGGGCAAATTTAGATGGGGGAGTGTCCAATTTTGGTCTTGCTTAGGGCAGCACAAAACCAAAATACACCACTGGGTCAGGAGGGAAGGAGTTAAAAGAAACAAGTCTAATATTAACTGCAGTTGACAACTTGGGTATAAAACCTGTGTGATCTGAATGTATAGTATTGGTTATTACTTGATTCATTCTATTAGCAAGAGTTTTAGCTAGTATTTCAATATCAACTGAAAGAAGA